TGGGGGTGGTTAAGGAATCTAAGAGAGGCAAAGTCCAACACAGGGCTTGAAAAGTTAGAAAAATCGCCACAGCTTGTTCACTTTTGTCTGTTCACGTTAAGGGAATTTGCGACCGATTCCATCATAATGTTTCCCTTTAAAGGGATGAAAATATCGAACATCTAAATCCTCCCCCCCCCCAACCTCCCACAAAAAACAACAACAAAAGAACCCAACCCTCAACAAAATCAAAAAAACAAAACAGCAGCAACAACAACAACAACAAGAACAAACTCCAACTCATATAGAAACAGGAATTTGGTCTTAAAAAAGGGACATTATTGAAAGCCTTTTTGTCTGTTTCTCTATATCGGGTACTTTAGCCTCTTATAATCCGAAAATCTCAAAACGTTGTTGGACTAGACGTTTGAAACCTGGCATGGTTGTTGTTCACTAATACCAAAAGATAGTATGATAATATCTGTCTTTGATTTTGTTATAGATTCCTTTGTAAAGGTGTTAAAATACGCAAATTAGTCACCTGTACTGCGTAATTGAGGAACATCAAAGTTCAAAATCCTCTCACTCCTTTGATCTTTACTGCATAGAGGTATAAAAGGGGTCACCAGTTCAAGAAAAGGAATACCGTTTGACAGAATAAGAAAAATTAGATTATCCAAAGTACTTTATGAGATTCTTATATCATAAATTCTTTTTAAAAAGCAGAAAATCCAAGATGGCCGCCAGTGCCATGGCAACACATCTTTGGGGGCTATTTTTCACCTGCGCATTTATCATAACTTACTTCCATTTGATTAACCATGATGTTAAAAACCTGAAAATTTCAATATTTTACAAACCAGAAAAATCTTGTTTGTCCAAACATCGTGTCCTTCTCAGTCAGTCAGGGTTGTTGGTGCCGACATGCAGCGTCGGAACGGTCCGACATTTAAAAGATGTTATCTGTGCTGAAAGAGGGTGGAACGCATTCACACATACGATGGGGAGAGAGAGAGAGAGAGAGAGAGAGAGAGAGAG